TGATTTAATAACATCTTTGGTCCACACTGTTTAGTTGTTCCAATCTAAACTTTTATCATATTTTCCAATTTTGACAGTACTTTTAAAGTTTATAAACAAAGCAATACATTTACATAGGTAAATCAGATGTTCCATACTGAAAGTTTTGTAACAAAACCCAGTAGTCCCCATTCTGTTCCTGCAAATTGCCATATTGCTTTTCCTCAAAGCAATAGTTTTAATCCTTGCAGCTATTCCTTATAGGGTTTATTACCATATTTCCAAGTAATGTGCTGATACAGGTTTTTATTTTATGTAAAAAAATAATGAATGCATTCACATTGTTAAAAAATATATTTAAATATACACAATTTTATTTAAATATAAAACATACACAAGTTTCTTCCATATCCTCAACTCTTCTCAACTTCTCTGTAAAAAATGTACAGTAAGTAATCTTGTATAAATTTCATTTTACAACTATGCATGGAAATCTGAAGAGTACAATACCCAAACTGGAATGCTAATGTTGAGTATTCTTCATAGGGAGTGAGAGTGGATACAAATTTATACTCAACAGCATATAGTGTCTTCTGTCTTACAGATTTAGGCCAGTGTGACAGATGGAAAATGGCACCTCAATGTGCTTTTCTCTCCATAACTATAACTTTGATAATTTTCCTTCTAATTTGCTCCCAAAGTTTAATCTTCTCTCTACCCAAAGTCTTGCTGTCTTCCAATAGTGTTGATATGTGGTCATGAAGTTAGTCATTTCACTCATACTTTAAATATTCTAGGAGCATTAAGAGGAGCCAAGAAAAAAAATTTTTTAAGAGGAGCCCTCGTGGGGTGGTGCTTAAGCACGTGGGTGCTAAGTAGGGGTCTGCAGTTCTAATCTACCAGTAGTTCTGTGGGAGAAAGATTTGGCAATCTGGTTCCTTAAAGATTATAGAGTTGGAAACTCTAAAGGGCCACTTTGGGTCAGAATCGACTTGACATCACATAATACGTACGATAACTCTAAAATCACTGAGGGATTTGGCCCTAAATTCATTGTATTATACATTAAACATTTCTTGTCTCTCCTTTGCTCTCCAGGGCACATTCTTTACCATACTTACCCAGATTATTTCCTTTATAAGACACTTCTTACAGTTTTCCTAAACATATTTGCTCCACATTTTACTTTTTTTTGCCCTCATAACATCTCCCCCAAATCTCCAAGTCCTGTGGCTTGGATTGAACGCCCCATTCTTTGTATTCATACTGACTTGTCATATGCTTATTGTAACACTTACATTTTGTTGTCTTTTTGACATATTTGTGTTTCTTCATATCAGGTTCTACCTTGATTTCAACTTTTCTCTTTGCAGTCAGATTACTAATAAATGAAGTCAAGTGAAATGAAAAGTTACTCATGTCAAGGATGTAGCATTAGAAGAGGAATACTTTTTATTGACTACACTTAAGAACAGAAAGGGTGCTCCTATCTCTTGTACCCAAGTCTGTCTGTCTATCTCTTATACACACACACATTAATTCAAAGGATATGACTTAAGGACAAAAAGGTTAATATTTACTAGTTAGTAAGTCCTCAGTCCTTAGCTACTCAAGAAATCTTAAATCTACACTTTATTTATTTGTATCACTGAATTCTCTTGTTCCCTAGGAAACCTGAATGGAAACTCTGTTGAGAATCTTCAAAGAAAAGATTTAGGTATGTTTTACATGAAGAGCTTCCCTGCTGGCAAATTTTGGAAAAGATGGCCAACATAATAACTGGGAATCAGGATTATATTGTGAATCTTCAAGAGGAAATGTATAGAGACCCAGAACTAGATCTTTCCCCTTGTCAAAACAGGAGAGAACATCTTCTCATGTTTTTAGAAGAATATGGTAACTCTTCATAGAGGTTATATAAAAAACATAGAAAATGAAGACTATCTGACTTTGAAAGTCCCAAGCCAAATATCCACACAGATATCTTCCGTGAAGTTCTGTAAGAATGAACCACAAGATTTTCAGGAACACAGAAGTCTCTTTGTTGATGAAGAAAGCACTGAGGGAAAACAATATGGAGGGGCAGTCCTCCCATGGAGTGTTATTCAGAGAACCTTCAAGTTATAGGTCAATCAGATATAACAGAATCAGTCCCTCCATTGTTGAGTTATAGTCATATGAAAGTGCATACAACCGAGAAACTTTATAACTGTAATGACTGTGGGAAAATGCTGAAGACCAGACTAAATGTTCATCCATATGAGAGAATCCACTCAGAAGAGAAACTACATAACTGTGTTCCATGTGGTAAGGAATTTAGTCAGAGTCCAGAATTATTAGTTCATCAAAAAGACCTCACAGAAGAAAACCCCTATAAATGTGATCAATGTGGGAAGGGCTTCACAAGAAGCTCAAGTCTTCTCATTCATCTTGCTGTTCATACAGGTGAGAAACCTTATAAATGTGACAAGTGTGAAAAGGGCTTTAGTCAGAACTCCAAACTGCACATCCATCAGCGAGTCCACACTGGAGAAAAGCCATTTGAATGTGGGGAGTGTGGTATGAGCTTCAGTCAGCGCTCTAACCTGCATATCCACCAGCGAATCCACACAGGAGAGAGACCCTACAAATGTGGAGAATGCGGAAAGAGCTTCAGTCAGAGTTCAAACCTTCATATTCACCGGTGCATACATACTGGAGAGAAGCCTTATCAATGTTATGTGTGTGGGAAGGGCTTCAGTCAGAGTTCAGATCTTCGCATCCATCTCCGAGTCCACACTGGTGAGAAGCCCTATCATTGTGGCAGGTGCGGGAAAGGATTTAGCCAGAGTTCCAAACTTCTCATTCATCAGTGAGTACATACTGGAGAGAAGCCCTATGTATGTAGCAAGTGTGGAAAAGGCTTCAGCCAGAGCTCCAACCTTCACATCCACCAACGGGTTCACAAAAAAGATACCTGTTAAATGTTGTCAGCCAACTCGGGTTTTCAACCAGGGTGTTTATATGTTGAAGACTATTAAATACTTTTTAACAATACTCTTTATACAAGGGCACTTCAAAATGTTTGGGGGGTGGGGGTGGAAATAATGGTATTTTCCATGAGCTTTTTGAAGCCCCTTATATTCTACAAAGGAAAGAACTCGGAAAGATTATCCAGATGTGTACCCTCACTAAAAAGCATTCATTTATTTTAAAAGTATTTAAATACCATTTTTTTAATCCTATACTGAGAATAGATTGATGTTTCCACAGATAATAGGGTGAAAACATCTGTAATTTAGCCAATGTTAGAACTATATAACTTTCTGTCCATTTTTAACCCTAAATACTTCATATTTATCTAACCAGGATCTGGTCCCTTTTTTCACATTCATTAACAGACTGGTACTCTAGGGTCTTGTGTTAGTCTGGGTATATTAGAGAAACAAATCCACAGAAACTCATATTAGCAAGTTTTATATCAAGGTTAAGTGCACATCAAGAAAACATCCCAACCCAGTGCTACTCAAGCCCACAAGTCCAATATTAGCCCATATGTCCGGCACCAATCCACAAAGTCCTCCTCATCTCACAAAACACATGCAATGATGTCGACTGCAGGAGGAAAGCCAAATCAGTGGACATGTAAGCACCTCGGCGCTAGCAGGGGTCTCCACATGGGGCTGCTCCAGCACCCAGGGCTGCATCAGGGTAGGTCCATGTGGCTTCCCCTCAGGGATCTCTTGCAGGAAGTAAACCTTGCCAGCTGAAGCAGGGAACTGGCTAAGGCAGCTGCACCGGTCAAACCATCAGAAAACGAGAGACCCAAAAACTAGAAAGGCGAAGCTCACAGAGCCATTTATCTCTCTGCCCTTGAATTAACCCCATATGTGTTTATAGGCCAGGTTGGCATGATAAACTTTAACTATCTCAGGTCTCTTCAAATCATGTGTCTTATATTTCCTTCTGGCCATAAGTAAGTTCTCTAACTGTACATGGGGGTTTTGAAAAGTTGACAGAAAATTGTAATTGAAAGATAATAGAATTTTTCTACAAATATTTTGAAGCCCCTGATGTCTTGTGCTGGTTTTAGGGGGTGGCTGGAAGTATTATGGACATGGAAACACTTGCGTGTACTACAAAAATACACAACTGTCTCTGGTTATAAAATGAGGAGTGGGAAAATTAATCATAGTATTTTGGCAAGCTGTTGAGTCTCCTCCCTCCCTATCCACTGAAATCAAGTATGCAGAAACATAAAAACCAGTTATCTAGTTAATTCTGATTCATTAGAATTTTGATAATATAGTAAACAAAAAATAATTTGCATACTTTGTACAATTCCTAGCCTCCTTAGAAGTTATGGACATCTGGCACGTATTTGTAAATTTTTTATATTTGGCATTAAGTACATCACAAAAAATAGCTATAATAGGTTTTTTTCTATTGTAAATTAGACAAAAACAAGTTTTCCATTCCACAATTCATACATTTTGTTTCAAGTTATTAATTATAATATATCACCACTTTTCCCAGTTCCTGTTTCCATTCCTCCTTCCTAACATTTTAAATTTTGTCCTTGGGTAAATGCTACCTTTTTCATTTCAAATGTTTGGTTTTCTAAGTAATGCCTAACTCCCTAATGCTAATTGTACCCTGTATTGACCCAACTGTTGATTGGCTGAAAATTGAGCTATGGGAGTAAGTTTAGTTCCAGACTGAGCGCCATAGTCTCTTGGGTTCCACCAGACTCTATCAATCCAATCGGTATGACTGGTCTTTTTTATGATTTTGAGAAGTGTTCTACATTTTTCTCCCACTATATCCAGAGTCTCAAGGAAATCTAAAAGAAAAGAGAACAATTAGTCATGACCTTGGTCTCATTCATTGTTCTCATTCCTATTAGATTTTCTTCATTCCTCTTGCTTAGAGAGAAAGGGGGAGACCAATGGTTTCGCCTTACATCCCCATTCATGAGCTTTTAAGACCGCCCTAGTCACTGTTCACCAACACAGGAAGTAGAAATGGGGTTGTGGATTACATGATTCCAGTTGTCTGTGATGTTCCCCAGACTGTGGTCCTGAGCCCTTGGGCACAGGGACTCATTGCTTCCAGGTGCTTGATTATGTCTTTTAAAAATTTTGCCCCTTATATACTCCCTCACATTAACGGATATATTTGCAACATGTAGAAATATCTTTTGTTAAACCTATATATATTTATGGGTATACTCCCACTCTTCCATACCCATTCAGCCTGTATATCTATGCATCCACTCAAACCATCTCCACTTATTACAGGATTGTGTATTTAACAGTACGTGCCTTGATTGTGATTAACTCCTGTAATCCTCTGCAACGTCTTGCCCTACCTCCATCCTTTTTTTTTGCTGACCTCCTCCTTACTGTATATACCCTTCCCCTTCCTCTGTTAGTATCTATCTACTACCCTCTAGTGCAACAGTTCTCAACTTGTGGGTTGCAACTCCTTTGGGGATCGAATGACCCTTTCACAGGGGTCACCCAATTCATAACAGTAGCAAAATTACAGTTATGAAGTAGCAACAAAAATAATTTTATGGTTGGGGGGGTCAGCACAACATGAGGAACTGTATTAAAGAGTCGTGGCATTAGGAAGGTTGAGAACACTGCTCTAGTGAATAATGTGCTCTCCTATCTCCTCCCATTCCTGATAACATCAAAAAATGTTTCTTTTACTGTGAAAATCATTTCTTAGCTTTTATAATAATGGTCTCATATAGTATCTGTCATTTAGTGATTGACTAATTTCACTAAACATAATGTTTTCCAGAGTCATACATTTTATGGGGTGTTTCCGAGATTTGTTATTCTGTAGTATTGCACAGTGTTGGCATGTACCGCAGTGTTGGAATGTAACCATTCTTCCACTGATGGACACGGGCTGTTTCCAACTTTTCGCTATTATGAATAGTTCTTACTCTCTAGGATACATACCAACTAGAGGGGTTGCTGGGTCATATAGTATTTATATTTAAACTATACTGTTTCCACAGTGACTGCACCATTTCAGTCCAACATGAGGGTTCTGGTTCTCTATACACCTTTGCCACCTTGTTTTCTATTTTTTTCATTACTGTTGCTATTGCTGGTCTGGGGGTGGGGAGTTGTTTGATTTGCCTCTCTAATGGTTAATGATCCACAAGCATTTCTTGGTATTTTCTCAGCTGCTTGAATGCCGCTGAGGAAGTGCCTTTTCATGCCCTATGCCTATATTTTAATTGGATTATTTATCTTTTTCTTAAGGAAGTGTTGAAGATTTCTATAAATTTTAAAGATTGGGTCCTTGTCTGATATGTCATTGTCAACCATTCTTTTCTAGTCTGTGATTCCCTTTTTATTCCTTTGGTGAATCTTTTGGTGCACATAGTCTTTTGATCTATCATGACTTTATTTTTATATATAGTGTGAGATATGGGTCCTGTTTCTTTTTTTTTTTTTTTTTTTGGTAAATAAAAATCTAGTTTTGCCAGCACCATTTGTTAGAGAAACTATCTCTTCATTATTTAATGAGCTATGTCAAAGATGCTACATCTATTTTTAAGAACTATATTTAGTATGTTTAAAATGGCCTAGGTATATCACTTGGTTATTATGGGATTGGGTGTGGGTATTGGATACTTCAAAGAAGTAAGCATTCATCCCCAACCTACTCACTACCCCACTGTCATCAAGTGGATTTCAACTTATAGGACTCTACAGAAAGGAGAACTGCCTTCTTAGAATGTCTGAAACTATAAATCTTAACAGCCTCAGCTTTCTCCTGAACCACTAACTTTAGTTAGCAGCCCAACACTTAACCCAGTGTGCTACCAGGGCTCATCCTCTAAAAATAAGTTCATATAACAGGTGAGAGTATAAAAGTAATTAAAATACATACCTAAATTGCAAGTTACTAGGTAATTAGCTCCAAATTGAAGCCCTGATTTCCCAAGCAAAGATGAATGACTGTTCACACAATGGTAGGAGGGTTGCCTAGTAGTCTATATCCTGGTTTCTCCAACCACTCCTTCCTCCCCACTACCCCCCACCCTCCACTGCTAGTATTCATATATTAAAATTCCCAAACAGGGAAAATACAGATACTTTATTAATTTGGAGAGATTGGGGGCGGGGGTGCAATTTATAGCACACATCTAGACTTGAGGTTACCTTTAGCACTTAACTGTAAATAAACAGTACTCAGGCAGAGTACTGAAGTAATAAGGAATGTGTAATAAGGAATGAAAGAGGATGAGTGGTTAAGACATTTGCCTTCCTTCAAGAGAGATTCCCAGAATAGTTAACTCTAACTCTGAACTTGTCAAATGGCAATTACTTAGTATTTACCCTTTAGCATAACATAATATCTTATTGCTTGTATGTTATTAGGCAACCTTATAAATTAGGTTATTCTGTTTCTATGATCTCTAAGATAATGAATGCTCCCTTTTATAAATTTGTACCTAAATATCTATTCATAAGGGCTGTGACATTTCTGTTTCATGTTTCTTCACTTTGGCTGTTGTTAAATAAATCGAATGCGGACTTGGAGCTAGGTAAGTGCCAAAAGGACCCATACACAGTAAGGACAGAAGATTGTCTGAAAGTTCCAATTAGAAAATTTTTTAAAATCATCTTGTTTTTCTAAATTTCTCTAGATATAGCTTTTCAGTCTTTCGGCTGGATCAAGTATAAATTTCCTTTTATATTTTCTTCAGTTATCAATGTTTTAAACTATTGTTTAACTTTTACTATTCTCTTAAGCATTTCTTTCTTTAGTATTTTTTAAATGTCATCAAAGCCCTTGGGGAGCATTTTTCCAATTATGGAAGTAAATTTGGGAATACCAATAGATTGGAAAAGAGCAACTCATGTACAAAAATGCAGGAACAAAAAGAGAAAAAATGCAGTAACAAAAAAAACGCAGTAACAACAACAGGAGGTATGTTACATTTCACCAGATCTTCAGATTCCATGGATTATATAAGAAAAATAAATCTATGTATACTAGGAAATAAGATATTGGTGATTAAGTAC